TATCAATAATGTAATGTAATCTATTGAGTATGTAATAAATTTTGGCTGATACATTTAAATTCTAATCCTCTTATTAGATAACTATTGTATTTTAATTAGTAAGTAACTTTAAGCCCCAATACTTGAAAACACAAGAGACAATAAATCTATGTCATGGAAATATTAACAATTTTAAGACAACATATTTATTAGGCATTTAAGGCATATGCATTTATAAAAGTATTTGAGTAGGTGTGTGATGCTTGGCTTTATATGAGACTTAGAATTTTGGAAACATATTCCAGGTGGAGGAATCATGGGGGTATGAAAGAGAAAAGTACTTTTGGGAATAACAGCTAATTTTGAATTAATGGAGCATAGAGTGTGTACAAAATAGGGACAAAGGCAAAACTAAGACTAAACTGGAGTAGGCAGGGGCTAGATCCTGAAGCAATCATTGATTAGTTATAAAGTTACAATGTAAGCCAATCAACAAGGATAGAAAACAGAAATAGCATTATGAACAAAAGTTGAACTAAAAATTAAAATTCACAAATCACATAGTATTAATATTTTTTAATTTTTATTGATTTCAGAGATGAAGGGAGAGGGAGAGAGAGATAGAAACATCAATGGTTGTGAGGAAGCATGGGACGTGGTTGGAAAGTCTGTAAGGAGGATTCTCTGAAAGTTTGGGGGCTTAGAGGGACCTTGCCGAAGGTGGCAGCCCCTGCCTTGACTTTTCTAAACAAGCCTGAGCTCCCGGGAGTTTTACTGGAATTTCTATGTTTAGCCTTTAGACATGACCTTGAAGAAGCATGTGCTCTCTCGAGGATAGTTACCCTGCTGATAGTATCTATAGGTTAATTTTAGTTCAGGCTGTTGCTATAATAAAAGCTTAAGGAGGCAGGTGAATGGGATATCTGGTTCCTTTAGCCAAGTAGTCCCTTAGCCCTCTCTTTCACAGAAACATGTGTCAGTGTAATCATTCATCCATTGCTCAGGGTCTGTTGGTCAGTCCTGGCAAATGATGAGAGGGAATCATTGATCAGCTGCCTCCTGCATGCACCCTACTGGGGATCAGGCTCAAAACCAGGCATGTGCCCTTGACCAGAATCAAACCCAGGACCCTTCAGTCCACAGGCTGATGCTCTATCCACTGAATCAAACCAGCTAGGGCCACATATTATTTACATGGGAACTATGGTGAAAGTATTATCTCTTTTTCCAACTAATGAAAATATAAATTTTATCTCAAAAGACATGCTTAAAATTGTGTGGCTTCTCATTTCTTAACCTATTTGATTATTCAGTATTGCATAGTATTAAACATTATTATCACTGAAATTCTTTCCCATTGGCCTGTATCTATATGATAAAAGGCTAATATGCAAATAGACCAAACAGCGGAAGGATTGGTCATTATGACATGCACTGACCACCAAGGGGCAGATGCTCAATGCAGGAGCTGCCCCCTGGTGGTCAGTGCACTCCCACAGGGGGAGTGCCACTCAGCCAGAAGCCAGGCTTATGGCCAGTGAGCACAGTAGCCATGGTGGGAGCCTCTCCCACTTCCTCAGCAGCACTAAGGATGTCTGACTGCCAGCTTAGGCCTGCTTCTTCAGACATCCCCTGAGAACTCTCGGAATGCAAGAGGGTGCGGGGCTGGGTTGAGGGACTCCATCAAGTGAACAATTTTCATGCACCAGGCCTCTAGTTAATATATAATGTCTAATCTTTTCTTCAATGCCTTCTTCAAAACTATGTTTCCAGCAGAACATAATTTTTCTACTGCCTTTTCTTGAATTATATTCAGTGAATAAGTGTATCAACTGCCCTAATAACCTTACTCTGGTTACCATGATTTCTCCCTGTGACACACACTTACAGCCTTTTCTATATTTCCACTTATCAAAACCTACTTATATCATTAGGTCAACTCCCAGGAAAATGCTACTTTTTATGTGAAGTTCTAATCAATCAAGAAGAATTAGTCTTCTTTTTTTTCTCCTACAGATGTGTATAACCCTTTATTCCAAGACTAGTATTGCTTCCTTCTTTCATTCTATATATATATATATATATATATATATATATATATATATATATATATATCTCCAAACCTCCTATACAAGGTGTTAACTTATTAAGAGATCTCTGGTCCTGGCCACTGTGGCATCCCCCAACGTCATCTTCTTTGTTCAGTTCTCAATTTCTGCATCTCTTTCTGGTATATCTAGGATGGTTAATCTCCACTAAATATGCAATCTAGTCTCACTGTCAAGAAAAGTTCTGAACAAACCAACATTCAGGCATAATGTATTTAAAACATTAAACTCATTCATCCTGGCCCTGATATATTCTGTTTTACACTAAAACACCATGAAACTCATTACCAGTTATCTGATATAGTTACCCAGTTGATATTTCCTTTATTCCTTTATCCTTGACTATTCTGTTAGTCTTTATGGTCAGGAATAATGTCTTCAATCTTTTAGTTTCTACCCAGAACGTTGATTATTCAAATCAGTAGACAGCAAATGTTTCATTAAATATTTGTTGAATGAATGAATGATTAAAGCCTGTGCAGAAATCAATAAAGACTTGGTGGAGATGCATAGGTTGCCATTGTGCCTGTTTTCCTTCTGATCAGAGGGCCCTGTGATTGGTGAGGAATGGCTCTGCCAGAGGAAATCCTGCCCTCTCTATGTGATAAAGGGAAAGAAGAAAGAGTCTTATTATGAATTAGAGGCCCGGTGCATGGATTTGTGCACCAGTGAGATCCCTCAGCATGGCCTGCGGGGATTGGGCTGAAACTGGCAGTCCAAAATCCCCGGAGGGATGTAGTAGTGCATGAAGTGGCAGGCGGCCAGGAAGGAGCCTAAGCCTGGGACAGGTGCTGCACCACTCTCGCTCATCCTTGCCCTGCTGCGCCTGCTGCCACTGCTCAGTAGGCTCATTGCCTCTCTGCTGCGGTCTCCGTGCTCATCCTAGGGCGATGACAGCTCTCCTATGACTGAGAAGCAGCTGTGGGCTCACACCTAGTTAGTTCTGATGCCAGTCCTGTTCCTGGTCCTGGTCTGGATAGGGGAAGGGCTCATAGGGGCGTGTCTGTGGGAGAGGCTCATGCCTCCACAGCTGCGCTCCCCAGCAGTGAGCCCAGTGTCTGGTGCCTGTGGGTCAGCTGAGTGGCGTTCTCACTGTGGGAGCACACTGACCACCAGGGAGCATCTCCTGCATTGAGTGTCTTCCTCCTGGTGGTCAGTGTGCATCATAGCAACCAGTCGAACGGCCAAATGGTCACTTAGGCTTTTATATTTATATATATAGATAAACTACCCAGCATTCAATAATGTTGCTAGTTGTAAGTGTAAGCATGGCAACATAAACTTTTTAAAGCCACAAGGGAACCTTAAGCTTATTCACAATTTACCCTTTATACAAAAGAGGCTCCTAAAAATGAAAAAGGTCAAGTTATTTGCCTAAATTGCAATAGAATTGAGACAGAAGCCAAAGATTCCTGACTCACTATCCAAATCTCTTTGCATTGTGAGTACATTTACTTTACAACATTAGTGATAAACTAAGCTAATGGTGTTTAAATTTTTATATTTCCTGAATGGTGATTAAATTTTTAATGTGTTATGACTGTACCACAAAATCATGAAAAACCTTTGCAAGGATGTATGATTTAAACTGCGATTTTATGATAGGACGCTCTTTTCTTGATACTGACGGAGCTTAGCTTACTATAACCTTTTTGCAATGGAATTTCTGATCAGCCTGACAGATTTTATACAACAGTAAATGTAAAAATTTTGAGCAAATACTCCCCCAATTCCCAAGGCAACAACTTAAAAAAGGAAAACAACGGATGTCACAGGAGGAGCCTACAGGAGCTTGTGTGTGTGACCTGGTGGAACTTTGCACTCTGACATCGTAGGAGGCAGGAAAGCATTTGTGTTACCGCCCCCGGGTGAAACAGTCCCTGAGAGTCACTTAGAGAGCGGCTGTGGATGTCACTCTTCGCTCTTTGCAGCCCCGAGGAGACTTCTTAGTGCACTTGCAGCAATAACAGAAAGAATCAATTCAACTTTGGAGATAAGGAGGGGCTCAAAGACATTTTGTTTCACATTGCTCAAATTTATTACTGTACTGAACGCTGTTGTGTTTGTTTGCCAGGGCCCTCAGAACAAAGCTCCACAGACTGGTGGCTTAAACTTGACATGTTATTTCTTCAGACAGGGCTACCTGGACAGGCTCCTTGTGGAGAAGGATCAGGGACTGAAGACTTCACAGTCCTCACCCTCAGCTTTGTTTACACAGCTGTCTGCTCCAAGCTCAGGGCTCAGCCCTTCCTTCCACGCCCTTTCCTTCTCCAAGAAAGAATGACAGGGCAATGACCACCTTGCAGACGGCTGGGTCATTAAAACATATCAGGCAGGGAGCACGGCCATGGCGGGCTCCAACAGAGGCCTGAGCCACCCAATTTAAAGTAACTGCCCCCAAGTCACACTGTCAATGCTGTTGTCATTTTCTTCATGACTCCAGTGTCTACTCAAATCTTGTTTATTTTATTTATGGCCATTTCTTCCCAGATCATGTCCAGCACAGTTTATGTCTGTCTTTGTCACTGCTATGTCCCCGGTGCCTAGAACAGTGCCTGGCACACGGTATCTGATCAATAAATGTTGGTGAAATGAATGAAAGAAATAGTGAGCTGGACATGATCTAGGAAGGGAAGGGCCAGTAAACCACTGGAACAGAGTGAGCAAAGGGAAGAGGACAGGGGCTGATTTTGGAGGGCTTGGCAGGTCATTTGGTTTTACTCATGCTATAGGGAGTTGGGGGATTCTGGGTAGGGGAGGGACATCATCTGACGTGTTTTAAGATGGACCTGTGGGCTGGTGAGGCTATGGGACATTTAGCAAGAACAAATGGATGCTGCTTCTGGGCTTGTCAAGGAAAACTGGTCTAGGAGTCACTTCATTTTTAAAAAGGAGGTCTGTCCCCAGGCCCTGTCCCCAGCCCTGTGCTCTCCTTCCTCCAGACCCCTGAGTGTCAGTGGTGGTGTTGTCCCTTGTCACCTGGAACCCCATGCAGCCGGAACCCAGGCCTAGCGGGGCTGGGGTCCACACCCGATTTCTGCCCCTGAGGTCGCAGCACTCTGAGGGTTCAGGGGACACAGTGATGTACGCCTCCACCGAGTGCAAGGCTGAGGTGACACCCTCCCAGCATGGCAACCGCACTTTCAGCTACACGCTGGAGGACCACACCAAGCAGGCCTTCGGAATCATGAATGAACTGCCTTTCAGCCAGCAGCTGTGCGATGTCATGCTTCAGGTCAAGTACCAGGACGCACTGGCTGCACAGTTCATGGCCCACAAAATGGTTCTGGCTTCATCCAGCCCTATCTTCAAGGCCATGTTCACCAACGGGCTGCGGGAGCAGGGCATGGAGGTGGTGTCCATCAAGGACATCCACCCCAAGGTCATGGAGCGTCTCATCGAGTTCGCCTATACAGCCTCTCTCTCCATGGGTGAGAAGTGCGTGCTCCATGTCATGAACGGTGCCGTCATGTACCAGATCGACACTGTCGTCCAAGCTTGCAATGACTTTCTGGTGCAGCAGCTGGACCCCAGCAATGCCATAGGCATCGCCAACTTTGCTGAGCAGATTGGCTGTGCTGAGCTTCACCAGAGTGCCCGAGAGTACATCTACATGCACTTCGGGGAGGTGGCCAAGCAAGAGGAGTTCTTCAGCCTGTCCCACTGCCAGCTGGTGACCCTCATCAGCCGGGATGATCTGAATGTACGCTGAGAGTCTGAGGTCTTCCATGCCTATATCAATTGGGTCAAGTACGACTGTGAGCACCAACGCTTCTATGTACAGGCGCTGCTGCGGGCCGTGCGCTGCCACTCGCTGACGCCCCACTTTCTGCAGATGCAGCTGCAGAAGTGTGAGATCTTGCAGTCAGGCTCCCACTGCAAGGACTACCTGGTCAAGATATTCCAGGAGCTCGCCCTGCACAAGCCCACACAGGTGATGCCCTGCCAGGCCCCCAAGGTGGGCCGGCTCATCTACACTGCTGGTGGCTATTTCCGCCAGTCACTCAGCTACCTGGAGGCCTACAACCCCACTGATGGCACATGGCTCCGGTTGGCAGACCTGCAGGTGCCTCAAAGTGGCCTGGCAGGCTGCGTGGTGGGCGGGCTGCTGTATGCCGTGGGCGGCCGGAACAACTTGCCTGATGGCAACACCGACTCCAGCGCCCTGGACTGCTACAACCCCATGACCAACCAGTGGTCGCCCTGTGCACCCAGGAGTGTCCCACGCAACCGAATTGGGGTTGGGGTCATCTACGGGCACATCTATGCTGTTGGTGGCTCCCATGGATGTATCCACCACAACAGTGTGGAGAGATATGAGCCAGAGCGTGATGAGTGGCACTTGGTGGCCCCAATGCTGACTCAAAGAATCGGGGTGGGCGTGGCTGTTCTCAACCGGATGCTCTATGCCATTGGGGGCTTTGACGGGATGAACCGCCTCAACTCAGCCGAATGTTACTATCCAGAGATGAGTGGCGAATGATCACACCCATGAACACCATACGAAGTGGGGCAGGAGTCTGTGTCCTGCACACCTGTATTTATGCTGCTGGGGGCTACGATGGTCAGGACCAGCTGAACAGTGTGGAGTGCAACAACGTGGAGACAGAAACGTGGACTTTCGTAGCTCCAATGAAGCACCGGCGAAGTGCCCTGGGGATTACTGTGCACCAGGGGAGAACCTATGTTCTCGGGGGCTACGACAGCCACACATTCCTGGACAGTGTGGAGTGTTATGACCCAGACACGGACACCTGGAACGAGGTTACCTGCATGACATCTGGCTGGAGTGGTGTGGGCGTCGCCGTCACCATAGAGCCCTGCTGGTAGCAGATCGACCAGCAGAACTATGCCTGTTGAACTACTTTGGTTTTCTTGGGCAAAAAATGGTCCCATCGAGAGTACTGTTTTTGTACAAAAATAGGGACAAAAGAAAAGCGACAGAGCAAATGCGTGTCCACCAGGATGTGAGGCTGGGATGCCCTAGTGTTAGAATGACTACTTGAAAGGAAAAAGACCAGAGTGGGAGCCCATGAGCCCGTGAGCCCGTGAGCCAGCCAGAATAGTCCCAGGAATGTCCAAGAGAGTACGGGGCGGCTGGGGGGGGGGGGGGTGGGATCCAGCAGGGTGGGTTCCTGGGAAAGAAAACCTCCCATCCACTATCCCAAGAAGGGGCCTGGGTCCCACCAGCAGATGCCACCTCCCTTTGGGGTGAAAGCAAGTCCTGAGGTCAGGCTAGTTTTTGTCCCTTGTGTCTCTGTGATTGGTTCCTAGAGGACTGGGAAGGAGCCAACTGAGGCCTTGGCGGTGAGGCCCTTCAGGAGGTAGGGACCCCAGGATGCGCCTGTACATAGAAACCACTGGATATTTTTGTCCTGGACAGTCATTTTGTTGATAAGTAACCCTGTAACTTTCCAATGAAAATAAAGAACAAACTAGTGTCTTCTAAAAATAAATATATATTGTCTTCTAAAAATAAATAAATATATATATATATATATAATCAGGCAGGACTTGATGACTGTGTTCTTGGCCAAATACTGGGCCTAAACAAGGCACAATTCTTCCTAATCCCTGCAGCTCAGTAATCCCGGGACAAGAAAAATGACCTTTTCCTCTCCCCAAAGTTGTCCATTTTCCTGCTTTCAGCATGAATGGTAGTTCTTTTCAGGAAAGAACTTGCTATGCTTTGTTATAAGCTCTGGACAAAATAGTCAGGCAGGTGACATCCTAATATATAAAAAGCCAGGGGCTGTCACAACCGAAACAACCAGATGAATGACCAAACAGCAGGCTGTGTGGGGTGTTCAGGCCGGCAGGAGGGTTAGTGAGGGATGACCAAATGACTGTACAGCAGGCTGCATGGGGAGACCAGGCAGGCAGGGGGATTAGTGAGGGACGACCAAATGACTGAACAGCAGGCTGTCTGGGGAGACCAGGCCAGCAGAGGGGGGCAGTTGAGGGTGACCAGGCTGGCGGGAGGAGGAGGGCAGTAAGGGGCAACCAGGCCAGCGGGACAATCAGGCCAGTGTGGGGGGAAGGCAGTTGAGGGCAACCAGGCTAGCAGGCAGAGGCAGTTAGGGGTGATCAAGCTGGCAGGGGAGGCAGCTGGGAGCGACCAGGCTGGCAGGGGGGCCAGTAAGGGGTGATCAGGCTAGCAGACAGAAGTGGATAGGGGTGATCAGGCTAGCAGGGGGGCCAGTTAGTGGTGATCAGGCAGGCAAGCAGGTGAGTAGTTAGGAGCCAGCAGTCTTGGAATGTGAGAAGGATGTCCTGGATTGGAGAGGGTGCAGGCTGGGCTGAGGGAACCCCCTCCATGTATGAATTCTGTGCACTGGGCCTCTAGTTTCCTATAAAGCAAAGCCTAGCTGTGGAAGGGGAGTTCACCTTGGGCACCTCACGACCAGGCTGGAAAAGGGTGTATACAGAAAAATACATCTTGTTGTTAAATAATGTTTGGGAAGAAAGCATAATACTATATACAATGTGCACACAGCAAGACAAAATCCTTCTGATTTTCAGTCAGAGCTCCCCAAATCTGAACCTATTTAAAAATAGGTGAGTCAACCTGCCAGTGAATCCTGGGAGTGCAGGGCAATGGCAGGGTTTGTGCTTGGATTGTTCTTTCAGTAGATTTGATCAAATGGCATTAATGTGATTTGAACTCTGAAGTTCCAGCCAGAGCCTAAAAAGTCTTTTGTTCAATTCCCCTGCTCCCTGAAATCACTGAGTTTCAACCGCACAAGTTCTGATCCATTAAAGTTAACAACTTTCAGAGCCATTAGTGGTAACAACTTCCTCTGTCACAGTTTCCCATAGTAACTCCAGGTGAAGAATTCATGCAAAAAGTAGACCAAGGGAAGATAAACAAATTCAAATCTTTTATCACATGGACATGAGATAAGGACAAAATGCATGGTCAAGGCTTGCATGCTGAGCCGGGTCCAACAGAGTCTTCGTGGAAGGCTCTTCCCATCTCATTTTCTTTACTTCAGGATGGAAATCTGTGCCTTAGATGGCAAGGCAGGCTCCATATCCTGACCTTAGTTCCCTCTGCTGTCCACAAACAATGGTAAGATGGACAGAGATCCAAAGGTGGGGGAGACCATAGGCCTTCTCTGTAAAATCAATTCCTTCAGAGATAGTCTCACCTGCCTCCCCTTAGTCACCACCACAAAGGCCAGAGTACCCCATGGGACAGTGCTTCCACCCTCCTTCAGATGCTCTTTGGCTGTGATGGGATGATGGTGAAGCTGTCTCCTCCTGGAATTTGCTTGGTCCAAGGTTTAATTATATTATGTTTAGTTCTTTCCATCCTTCAGTGGTCAAGGGGCCACAGCTTCTACCCTCAGAAAATGTACCCCCTTCCCATCTCTTACCACATTCACTGTTCTCCTGTCCATGACCCAATTACTAGTAAATATCTTTCAACAAGAAACCAGAATCCATAATACACTGTATTGTGAAACTGAAATCTTCCTTAGGTGCTCTATCAAACCTACAACACGTTTTTCTTTATATTGTTTTGGAAAAATCCTTGCAATTCCACAGGTACATGACAGGTGTTTTATTTTTTTTTAAATATTTATTTTTATTTTTAATTTCTTTATTGATTAAGGTATTACATATGTGTCCTTATCCCCCCAGTACCCCCCTAAGTACCCGCCTAAGCCCCCCCACTCATGCCCTCACACCCTGTTGTCTGTGTCCATTGGTTAGGCTTATATGCATGCATAAAAGTCCTTTGGTTGATCTCTCCCCCTTACCCCCACTCTCCCCTACCTTCCTTCTGAGGTTTGACGGTCTGATTGATGCTTCTCTGTCTCTGGATTTGTTTTTGTTCATCAGTTTATGTTGTTCATTATATTCCATAAATGAGTGAGATCATGTGATATTTATCTTTCTATGACTGGCTTATTTCACTTAGCATAATGCTCTCCAGTTCCATCCATGCTGTTACAAATGTTAAGAATTCCCTCTTTTTTTTTTTACCACAGGGTAATATTCCATTGGTAGATTTACCACAGTTTTTTAATCCACTCATCTACTGATGGGCACTTAGGCTGTTTCCAAATCTTAACTATGGTGAACTGTGCTGTCATGGACATAGGGGTGCATATATCCTTTCTGATTGGTGTTTCTAGTTTCTTGGGATATATTCCTAGAAGTGGGATCACAGGGTCAAATGGGAGTTCCATTTTTAGTTTTCTGAGGAAACTCCATACTGTCTTCCACAGTGGCTGCACCAGTCTGCATTTCCCCAGCAGTGCACAAGTGTTCCTTTTTCTCCACATCCTCTCCAGCACTTGTCATTTGTTGATAGCCATTCTGACAGGTGTGAGATGGTACCTCATTGTCGTTTTGATTTGCATCTCTCGGATGATTAATGACTTTGAGCATGTTTTCCTATGTCTCTTGGCCTTCTTTCTATCTTCTTTCGAAAAGTACCTATTTAGGTCCGTTGCCCATTTTTTGATTGGGTTGTTTATTTCCCTTTTGTTAAGTTGTATGAGATCCCTGTAAATGTTGGAGATTAAACCCTTATTGGTGATAACATTGGCAAATATGTTCTCCCATGCAGTGGGCTTTCTTGTTGTTTTGTTGATGGTTTCTTTTGCTGTTATTGTTGAAATTATTACATATATCTCCTTTTCTCCCACCGACCTTTTAGAGTAAAGAAGCACGCATATTAATTCTACTTTGAATTACACAGTATACAGTAGTAGGCTACAGAGATAGAATAGCTCATGGACTCTGAAATCCTATTGCCTGAGTTCAAATCCTCAAAATCTGACTTAATTGCTGTGTGACTTTGGACAAATTGCTGACATCTCTGTGCCCAGTAACCCTGTCTGTAGAATGAGAATTGAAATACTACCTCCCTCATTGGTAGCAAGTGGGAAGCTCTTAGCCTGACACAAAGTAAAAACTTTGCTATTTTTATTCTGATTCTTTACATTTTAATTAACTCATAGCATCCAAGCCAAATTGTATTCATGTGGGTGAAACAAAAGGAAGAATCCTTACATCTCTCAGTGGGCTCATAGAGTGGCTAGAGGTTTGTTGATTACAGAAGCAGCTCACCTAGTCATTATATTTACGGCCTATTTGAGGTAGTCTTAGAGTCCCTTTGGAATGACAGAAACCAGAGCAAAGGCAATAGTGGCCAAGAGAAGAGAGTTGAACACCTGGAACTTAGGGGGGTTAGTCACAAAGGAGGCAACCAATATTTTTGAGTATGTAAACAGGAACTGGAGAAGAAGCAAATAAGGCGACCAGGTCCAGCACAGACTTACTGAGTCAAAGTGAAGTATAAATAAGAGATGAGAAAATGTGTTTCTCTGACACAAACTCAGTTAGGTTACTGGCCACAGCTGTGTCTACCTGTTCTAGCATGGGACAGAACTTATGAGGTCAATGGGTCTGACACTCATCTTTCCCCCTCCAGACAAGCACATGGGCTATGCTGTGTTCCAGGATATGAGTAACTGCATATGTAATTCTTTTGAGTGCAACATTCATTTTAATATTTTGTTTGAAATCATTTAGGTTTACTGGAGACTTGTAATTTTCATACATCATTCATCCAGCTTCCCCTAATGCTACCAATGTACATGAACACAGCAAATTATTGAAACCAATGAATTAATAACGCAATACTACTAATCCACCTATGTGGTGCTAATTTGAATGTTGCCAGTTTCTCTATAATCAGCATAGCAAACTGCAGAAAATTTGACATGTTTTTGTTTGCTTTTCTTTTTGGTGGTAGGGAGAAGGGTAGCGAGTTCTCTGATTTTGTTGTGGTTTTGTTTTGCCTTGTCTCCTTCAGAACCAAGTGTTTTGAGGACAGCCCTTTC